CAGGACCAACCATTATAAACACAGCAGGTTAAGTCTTGCCTCTGCTGGGTCCCCTAGGTGTCTAACAGGAGAGTCAGCATCCCCTCTGGATCCAGGTTCTTGTGATGTGACTTTGTCAACCCCAGCCATCTCCTGGGCTCCTTCTGCTATGTTTGGACATCTGTCCCATCCCTCTAACACACCAACTCTCAGCAAAGTTGATGTTCCTGTCCTAAGGCCTCAGACACCCCTCCCCGTGCCCTGGCACAGCAGGGTCACTGCTTCTCTAAACTTCATTGCTTAAATGTCACCCTTCTTTGGGGATCTTGCATTAATACCTTATTTGAATATTTAAACAATATAAACCACACACACACACAGAGGCATCCATTCATTTATTACCATCTAAGATTTATGCATATTATTTATTTTCTGTCTTCTTCCACCCAAATTTAAATTCTCAGCAGTAGGGCTTGTTTTTTTTTTTGTTTTGTTTCATTTTGTTTTGTTTTCAACAGTCCCAACTCAACTTTCAGAAAACTAACCAACCACTAGAGGAGCTCGGGAAATACACCTGAGAGGGTGACTCTGGATTCTAGCCACTAGTGATACCACTAGTGATATTTCTGGTTCTGTTACTTTGGGTATGAAGAACCCCCAGTGGCTGCACAGACTGGCGAGGGGTACAGACCACTGGTGTGGAAGGTAGGCATTTGCCACTGAGGTGAACTCAGGCCCATGGTGCACATGGATGCCTCCAAGAGCCACTGGGGGGCTCCCTGCAGCAGGTGGTGAGGACGAGTCTGTGTCCTTAATAACAGGCTTCTTAGTAGAAGCTGACGTGGTGCAGCCAGGTTTTGGGGTTTCCACAGCACTAGGGAGGGACCAAGCCTGTGTATGACCTGTACACAAGTGCCACGGCAGCCCCAGACAATGTACCAGACACAAATGACCAATGGCAAATGGCACCATTGTCAATCAAAATGTTCACAACAAAAGATGTCAAGTAGTAGAGCCTTCATGAGAGCCGCATTCTCTCTCTCGGGCCAGAACATGTATGCGTCTGTCCTAACAGGCTTCTCCCTGTTCTATGACCTGGCTTCTAATAGATATCATTAAGGAAAAATAAGTCCACTAAGAAGAAAATACCGAAGTCCTGACATGTGGAGCAGGGGGAAGGGCTTTCCTATTTTCTCTTTACCTCTGCATTTTCTTACGATCACTAGGATGGGCACGGGAGGACCACAGTAGACGTTCTCTATTCCTCGGCAGGTGTTTATGATGTAACACCATCTGCCCCATCTGGGAGCTCCCTGAAGGCTGGTGCCACATTTACACAGTTTGAGGGCCTGATAAATGTTAGAAATGGACAAATCAAAGAATGAACAGGTAGAAGACAGTCCAATAACTCAGCTCTGGTATTGAAAGTTCCCCTGGTCCTGGCCTGACCTTGGTCCACATACTCTGTTTAGCCCCAGGAACCGCCTGGAACCTCAGAGTCCTCCAGATCTGTAGCTCCAGGGGCAGCAAGAGTCCAAATGGTTTCCTTCCCTTCCGCAGGTGATGCCGAGTGATTAGAACCATGATTATTCATTGGGTTGCTGTTGCCCACACAATCCTGCCAGCATGACAGCCAGTTCTGGCTGCAACAGAATAAAAGAGATTTCCTGCCCAGAGCACTGCAACTTCTGACCACTTGTCCTACTGATTTTGCTGAGTTACACTTATCCAAGGGATACTCGGTGCTGTAGATGTTGGTTATGGGCTGAGTTTCCAGGGAAGCAGATTGAGACAGAAATCAGCACATGAACATTTAATCAGGGAGAACTCTAGGGAACAGCAGATCTGAATGAGCAGGACTGGACTGAGGAGACTTCAGACTGTGAGGCAGTCTCCAGGGATACAGCAACTGGTCAGGTAGGATCCTGAGTCAATGCATGACAGGGTGCATCCTGGCAGGTGGCATGGTTCCAGGCACAGTCACTCTCTTCATCAGAGCCCATCCCCAAAGAGGGCTGATGCCTGCAGCCCTCCCTCTATAGCCAGAGAGAAATCCCAGGTGCTGGAGAAGTGAGTCCTCTCTTCTCAAAGGGGAACTTGGACATCTATTGCTCTTTCCCAACAAAACAGTGCACAATTACCACACCCTGTGATGCGTCCCATCCGACTGCTCTGCCCCTCTCCAGGACAGGTGACAACTCTCACTGTCCCTTCATCACTCCTCATTTCATGATTTAGGTACACAGCCTGCCACCCAGTAGGAATGCAATAAACGTTGGTTGTTGAATATATGCATCACTGAACACTGAACATCAGCATGAAAACATGGATAAAATACAGTGCAATTAAAGAAAAACTGTCCCCAATGAGTTCTGTGTGATCAGAAAGAGAAACAGCAGAAGCAACAGAGAGAAGGCAAGGCACACGTATTTCTGATCTCAATTCTGGGCAAAACCCTGCGTCCCTCCAAACTTCAGGGGCTTGACTTAGGAAATAAAAGGGTAGGTCCCACCCAGCATTCTATGCAGAAGAGATTAGACAGGGGAGACTCACTGGCTTCCCAGTTTTGTTAAAGGATGTCTCCCTAATGCCATTATTGACCCAGATAAGAAATGTTAATTTTGATCCTGATAAGGGATAGAGTGTGTGGGGGGGACATGTCAACCCTGTGATTTGCTGAACACTTTCCTCAATTAGCCCAGAGCCATGATCCTCCCAGAAGGAAGGGGACAGTGACGGAATTTACCCTGCCCATGAATGGAAACAAAAACCAACAGGGTTTATGGAAATGATTTGTTGAAAATCAGTAAGGAGGATTTCACCCTCTTAGAATAAAGAAGTAAGAGAAGAAGACACAGAGAGATTTTAGGCAGAGGGTAGTGTGCAATTTGACAAAGAAAAAGATAAGAAATATATAATGATCTCACTAACAAACTGCTCTCTCATTGCATTTGCCCAATATAGAGAGGAACCTCAAAAATACAACACGGAGGGGAGGGGTATTAAAACAGCCCTAAACTCTTGCTAACCTGTCACTTCTCCCATAGGCCCCACCAGAGTCAAATATAACTACTGAGTTTACATTGCCCATCAGAAGGGCTCCTGTACCTGAGATAGTGACAAAGGCAACAATAAGAGCTAGAAGAAGATTACCAGACGAGAAGAGAGGACTTGAAAACCAAACAAACATACCTCAAAATAATAAGCATGATGCTAAGGAAAGCAAAAGCCAGAAGAACATTTCAAACACTCTCTAATCAATACCTATTTCTACTACCTCAAAAGCTTTCTTGGCAATCAAAGAATTATTTGATAAAAAGAGAAAACTAATAAATGCATGTTTCTGCACAAGTATGTCAACACTCAATTACTGCATACAAAATACACACATTTGATATTTAATGGTTACAAAGTATCCCAAATTGGTTTCTTCCTATGAACACAGATCTTGTGGCTCAGTGGGTAGAGCACTTGCCAACGTGTGAGGCACTGGGTTCAATTCTCTGCACCACAAGTAAATAAATAAAATAAAGAAAGAAATGGAAATTCCAGTTTTACTCTAGCATGTATCAAATCGAAGTAGAACTGTAACATAACTGTATTTGTAATTTCTTATTGACTTGAATAGCACAAACTTATCGGAGTTAAACTCATCTCCTTAAAAAAATATAATCACCACGGTTGACATGTCCACACCTACAAGGATACCAGAAAGAAATGAGCCACAAATACTAGAAAGAAATGAGCCACAATTACCTTTGAACTTGTGGAACACAGCCCAGAGCTCTGCGATGTCGGTTGCAAAGGTGATATCTGTGTCGAGGACAATGACTCTCTCCAGGTTGGCAGGAAGAGTTTTGGTCAGGACGAGCTTCATCAGGCCATAAATCCCAGAGTAATGTTTGTTGGGGATCCAAGAAACTTCAGACTGGACAGGATAAGGCACCGAGGGAGTTGGAGAAGGGGGAAAAAAGTCACTATATTAATTCTTTGCTTAAAACATTACAAATGGTGCCTGAGACACATAAAGCACTGAGTTTAGCTCCCCTCTCCTGGAGGACCCGTGCTCCCTTGAGGGGGCTCTCCTGTTTTTCCTCTTCTAATCAAC